TATTACAATCACAAAATACATACATTCCTTACATTCATTACATGCATACATTACATGCATCTCTTACATACATATACTTGTTACTTGATCTTTAACTGGTTCCTATTTTCTCTCATCTATCTCCCTCCTTTCTGTCATCTATTTCTTCTTTGTTTTGAGATTTCTCTCATATTTTTCTTTCTTTTCTCCTCTTTATCTTATGGATGCCTTGTCTAAGTAATTCATTATATGCACACACCGCTATTTAGACTTGGTTCCATTTCTCCTGTACTGCTTTTTCCCCCGTCTCTTCACATACATACAAACAGACAGACAGATTGACAGACAATTAGACAGAAAAACTGACAAACATCTATCCATCCATAGATACCAACAGATATACATTCATATGTATCTACAATACATACTTACATAGAGACAGACTAACAGACAGACAGACATGTAACGATACATACATCCATACAAACATTTATAGATACAGACACAGCAAGAAACATGCATTTAGATGACACTGCAAGGATCAGACACACAGACAGACAAACAGACAAACAATCAGACAATGAGACACTCAGAGAAACAGACAGACAAAGAGACAAACAACAATCAGACAATGAGACAATCAGACAAACAGACAGACAGACAAACAAAGAGACACGCTATCACACAGAAAGACAGACAGACAAAGAGACAAACAATCGGGCAGGGAGACTATCAGAAAAACAGACAAAGAGACAAACAGTCAGACAATGACACATTGATAAAGACAGACAAAGAGACAAACAATCAGACAGGGAGACAAACAGACAGACAATGAGACAATCACACAGACAGACAGACAAAGAGACAAACAATCAGACAGGGCCACAATCAGACAGACAGAAAGACAAAGAGACAAACAATCAGACAGGGAGACAATCAGACAACCAGACAAACACAGACAATAAGACAAACAGAAAGACTGCCAGACATAGGTATATACATTGATACATTCTCTTGGTCATTCTCTTAATTCCCCACAGCCCCTTTCACAGGGTCCATCTTCCCCTCTCCCCCTCTCCCTCTCACTCCCTTCCCTACAATTTATACATACATTACATTCATAACATACATCCATTCTTTACAATCATAACATACATACAGAACATACATCTCACAAACATATGTACATTCCATTCATAAGGTCCATTCTTTACATACATACAGAACATGCATCTCTTACAAACATACGTACATTACATTCATAAGAAAGGTCCATTCTTTACATACATTACATACATACAGAACATGCATCTCTTACAAACATGCATACATTTCATTCATAACATAGGTCCATTCTTTACATACATAACATACATACAGAACATGCATCTCTTACAAACATACGTACATTACATTCATAAGATAGGTCCATTCTTTACAAACATTACATACATACAGAACATGCATCTCTTACAACATGTGTACGTTACATTTATAACATAGGTCCATTCTTTACATACATGCATACATTCATGCATTATGTACATGACATTCTTTACATCATATTCACCACATTAGGAACATTTCACTTTATACATTTATTGCATGCATACATATATAACAAACATCCATTCTTTACATACATTACATACATACAGAACATGCATCTCTTACAAACATACGTACATTACATTCATAACATAGGTCCATTCTTTACATACATAACATACGTACAGAACATGCATCTCTTACACACATGTGTACATTACATTCATACTATAGGTCCATTCATAATGTAGGTACATTCATATATATCTACAATACATACTTACATAGAGAAAGACTAACAGACAGACAGACATATAACGATACATACATCCATACAAACATTTATAGATACAGACACAGCAACAAACATGCATTTAGATGACACTGCAAGGATCAGACACACAGACAGACAAACAATCAGACAACAATCAGACAATGAGACACTCAGAGAAACAGACAGACAAAGAGACAAACAACAATCAGACAATGAGACAATCAGACAAACTCCTTTTTCTCTCCAACTCCCTTCCCTACAATGCATAGATAGATTACATACATTACATAAGTACACAACATGCATCTCTCACAAACATATTTATATTACAATCACAAAATACATACATTCCTTACATTCATTACATGCATACATTACATGCATCTCTTACATACATATACTTGTTACTTGATCTTTAACTGGTTCCTATTTTCTCTCATCTATCTCCCTCCTTTCTGTCATCTATTTCTTCTTTGTTTTGAGATTTCTCTCATATTTTTCTTTCTTTTCTCCTCTTTATCTTATGGATGCCTTGTCTAAGTAATTCATTATATGCACACACCGCTATTTAGACTTGGTTCCATTTCTCCTGTACTGCTTTTTCCCCCGTCTCTTCACATACATACAAACAGACAGACAGATTGACAGACAATTAGACAGAAAAACTGACAAACATCTATCCATCCATAGATACCAACAGATATACATTCATATGTATCTACAATACATACTTACATAGAGACAGACTAACAGACAGACAGACATGTAACGATACATACATCCATACAAACATTTATAGATACAGACACAGCAAGAAACATGCATTTAGATGACACTGCAAGGATCAGACACACAGACAGACAAACAGACAAACAATCAGACAATGAGACACTCAGAGAAACAGACAGACAAAGAGACAAACAACAATCAGACAATGAGACGATCAGACAAACAGACAGACAGACAAACAAAGAGACACGCTATCACACAATGACACATTCACACAGAAAGACAGACAGACAACGAGACAAACAATCAGACAGGGCGACAATCAGACAGACAGAAAGACGAAGAGATAAACAATCAGACAGGGAGACAATCAGACAAGCAGACAAACACAGACAATAAGACAAACAGAAAGACTGCCAGACATAGGTATATACATTGATACATTCTCTTGGTCATTCTCTTAATTCCCCACAGCCCCTTTCACAGGGTCCATCTTCCCCTCTCCCCCTCTCCCTCTCACTCCCTTCCCTACAATTCATTCGTACATTACATTCATAACATACATCCATTCTTTACAATCATAACATACATACAGAACATGCATCTCACAAACATATGTACATTACATTCATAATAGGTCCATTCTTTACATACATACAGAACATGCATCTCTTACAAACATACGTACATTACATTCATAAGATAGGTCCATTCTTTACATACATTACATACATACAGAACATGCATCTCTTACAAACATGCATACATTTCATTCATAACATAGGTCCATTCTTTACATACATAACATACATACAGAACATGCATCTCTTACAAACATACGTACATTACATTCATAAGATAGGTCCATTCTTTACAAACATTACATACATACAGAACATGCATCTCTTACAACATGTGTACGTTACATTTATAACATAGGTCCATTCTTTACATACATGCATACATTCATGCATTATGTACATGACATTCTTTACATCATATTCACCACATTAGGAACATTTCACTTTATACATTTATTGCATGCATACATATATAACAAACATCCATTCTTTACATACATTACATACATACAGAACATGCATCTCTTACAAACATACGTACATTACATTCATAACATACTTCCATTATTTACATACATTACATACATACAGAACATGCATCTCTTACAAACATGTGTACATTACATTCATACTATAGGTCCATTCATAATGTAGGTACATTCATATATATCTACAATACATACTTACATAGAGACAGACTAACAGACAGACAGACATATAACGATACATACATCCATACAAACATTTATAGATACAGACACAGCAACAAACATGCATTTAGATGACACTGCAAGGATCAGACACACAGACAGACAAACAGACAAACAATCAGACAATGAGACACTCAGAGAAACAGACAGACAAAGAGACAAACAACAATCAGACAATGAGACAATCAGACAAACTCCTTTTTCTCTCCAACTCCCTTCCCTACAATGCATAGATAGATTACATACATTACATAAGTACACAACATGCATCTCTCACAAACATATTTATATTACAATCACAAAATACATACATTCCTTACATTCATTACATGCATACATTACATGCATCTCTTACATACATATACTTGTTACTTGATCTTTAACTGGTTCCTATTTTCTCTCATCTATCTCCCTCCTTTCTGTCATCTATTTCTTCTTTGTTTTGAGATTTCTCTCATATTTTTCTTTCTTTTCTCCTCTTTATCTTATGGATGCCTTGTCTAAGTAATTCATTATATGCACACACCGCTATTTAGACTTGGTTCCATTTCTCCTGTACTGCTTTTTCCCCCGTCTCTTCACATACATACAAACAGAGAGACAGATTGACAGACAATTAGACAGAAAAACTGACAAACATCTATCCATCCATAGATACCAACAGATATACATTCATATGTATCTACAATACATACTTACATAGAGACAGACTAACAGACAGACAGACATGTAACGATACATACATCCATACAAACATTTATAGATACAGACACAGCAAGAAACATGCATTTAGATGACACTGCAAGGATCAGACACACAGACAGACAAACAGACAAACAATCAGACAATGAGACACTCAGAGAAACAGACAGACAAAGAGACAAACAACAATCAGACAATGAGACAATCAGACAAACAGACAGACAGACAAACAAAGAGACATGCTATCACACAATGACACAATCACACAGAAAGACAGACAGACAAAGAGACACGCTATCACACAATGACACAATCACACAGAAAGACAGACAGACGAAGAGACAAACAATCAGACAGGGAGACAATCAGACAACCAGACAAACACAGACAATAAGACAAACAGAAAGACTGCCAGACATAGGTATATACATTGATACATTCTCTTGGTCATTCTCTTAATTCCCCACAGCCCCTTTCACAGGGTCCATCTTCCCCTCTCCCCCTCTCCCCCTCTCCCTCTCACTCCCTTCCCTACAATTCATTCGTACATTACATTCATAACATACATCCATTCTTTACAATCATAACATACATACAGAACATGCATCTCACAAACATATGTACATTACATTCATAATAGGTCCATTCTTTACATACATACAGAACATGCATCTCTTACAAACATACGTACATTACATTCATAAGATAGGTCCATTCTTTACATACATTACATACATACAGAACATGCATCTCTTACAAACATGCATACATTTCATTCATAACATAGGTCCATTCTTTACATACATAACATACATACAGAACATGCATCTCTTACAAACATACGTACATTACATTCATAAGATAGGTCCATTCTTTACAAACATTACATACATACAGAACATGCATCTCTTACAACATGTGTACGTTACATTTATAACATAGGTCCATTCTTTACATACATGCATACATTCATGCATTATGTACATGACATTCTTTACATCATATTCACCACATTAGGAACATTTCACTTTATACATTTATTGCATGCATACATATATAACAAACATCCATTCTTTACATACATTACATACATACAGAACATGCATCTCTTACAAACATACGTACATTACATTCATAACATAGGTCCATTCTTTACATACATAACATACGTACAGAACATGCATCTCTTACAAACATGTGTACATTACATTCATACTATAGGTCCATTCATAATGTAGGTACATTCATATATATCTACAATACATACTTACATAGAGACAGACTAACAGACAGACAGACATATAACGATACATACATCCATACAAACATTTATAGATACAGACACAGCAACAAACATGCATTTAGATGACACTGCAAGGATCAGACACACAGACAAACAGACAAACAATCAGACAATGAGACACTCAGAGAAACAGACAGACAAAGAGACAAACAACAATCAGACAATGAGACAATCAGACAAACAGACAGACAGACAAACAAAGAGACACGCTATCACACAATGACACAATCACACAGAAAGACAGACAGACAAAGAGACAAACAATCGGACAGGGAGACTATCAGAAAAGCAGACAAAGAGACAAACAGTCAGACAATGACACATTCATACAGACAGACAAAGAGACAAACAAACAATACAGACAATGAGACAATCACACAGACAAGACAAAGAGAGAGAAACAATCAGACAGGGCCACAATCAGACAGAAGAGACAAGAGACAAACAATCAGACAGGGAGACAATCAGACAACCAGACAAACACAGACAATAAGACAAACAGAAAGACTGCCAGACATAGGTATATACATTGATACATTCTCTTGGTCATTCTCTTAATTCCCCACAGCCCCTTTCACTGGGTCCATCTTCCCCTCTCCCCCTCTCCCTCTCACTCCCTTCCCTACAATTCATACGTACATTACATTCATAACATACATCCATTCTTTACAATCATAACATACATACAGAACATGCATCTCACAAACATATGTACATTACATTCATAATAGGTCCATTCTTTACATACATACAGAACATGCATCTCTTACAAACATACGTACATTACATTCATAAGATAGGTCCATTCTTTACATACATTACATACATACAGAACATGCATCTCTTACAAACATGCATACATTTCATTCATAACATAGGTCATTCTTTACATACATTACAGACATTCATATTCATTAGAGAACATCACATTCTATTACAAACATACATACATTACATCACACATGACATACAAACATAGGTCCATTCTTTACAAAAACATTACATACATACAGAACATGCATCTCTTACAACATGTGTATGTTACATTTATAACATAGGTCCATTCTTTACATACATGCATACATTCATGCATTATGTACATGACATTCTTTACATCATATTCACCACATTAGGAACATTTCACTTTATACATTTATTGCATGCATACATATATAACAAACATCCATTCTTTACATACATTACATACATACAGAACATGCATCTCTTACAAACATACGTACATTACATTCATAACATAGGTCCATTCTTTACATACATAACATACGTACAGAACATGCATCTCTTACAAACATGTGTACATTACATTCATACTATAGGTCCATTCATAATGTATCTACATTCATATATATTACATTCATACAATACATACATTACATAGACATACAGACAGAACAGATCAGGACATGTACATACATACATTCATAACATTTACATATACATGACACAGACATGCATTCTCTTTGTTACAACATGTACATACATATGCATATATATCATTACATGACAATACAGACATTACTTCACATAGAGACAGACATATTGCAGACAGACAGACATATAACATATATACATCAGACACATACAACAGAACACATTCACAAACATTTTATAGATACAGACACAGCAACAAACATGCATTTAGATGACACTGCAAGGATCAGACACACAGACAGACAAACAGACAAACAATCAGACAATGAGACACTCAGAGAAACAGACAGACAAAGAGACAAACAACAATCAGACAATGAGACAAACAGACAGACAGACAGACAAACAAAGAGACATGCTATCACACAATGACACAATCACACAGAAAGACAGACAGACAAAGAGACAAACAACAATGAGACAATCAGACAGACAGATAAAGAGAAACAACAATGAGACAATCAGACAAACAGACAGAGAAAGAGACAAACAGACAGACAGGAGACAATCAGAGACAACAAACAATCAGACAAACAGACACAAACAATCAGACAGGGACAGACAAACACACTGACAGACAGACATTGGTACTTACATTGATACATTCTCTTGGTCATTTTCTTCATTCTCTAAAGCACCTTTCACTGGTTTTTTTCTGCTCTTTCTCCTTTTTCTCTCCAACTCCCTTCCCTACAATGCATAGATAGATTACATACATTACATAAGTACACAACATGCATCTCTCACAAACATATTTATATTACAATCACAAAATACATACATTCCTTACATTCATTACATGCATACATTACATGCATCTCTTACATACATATACTTGTTACTTGATCTTTAACTGGTTCCTATTTTCTCTCATCTATCTCCCTCCTTTCTGTCATCTATTTCTTCTTTGTTTTGAGATTTCTCTCATATTTTTCTTTCTTTTCTCCTCTTTATCTTATGGATGCCTTGTCTAAGTAATTCATTATATGCACACACCGCTATTTAGACTTGGTTCCATTTCTCCTGTACTGCTTTTTCCCCCGTCTCTTCACATACATACAAACAGACAGACAGATTGACAGACAATTAGACAGAAAAACTGACAAACATCTATCCATCCATAGATACCAACAGATATACATTCATATGTATCTACAATACATACTGTCTTACATAGAGGCAGACTAACAGACAGACAGACATGTAACGATACATACATCCATACAAACATTTATAGATACAGACACAGCAAGAAACATGCATTTAGATGACACTGCAAGGATCAGACACACAGACAGACAAACAGACAAACAATCAGACAATGAGACACTCAGAGAAACAGACAGACAAAGAGACAAACAACAATCAGACAATGAGACAATCAGACAAACAGACAGACAGACAAACAAAGAGACACGCTATCACACAATGACACAATCACACAGAAAGACAGACAGACAAAGAGACAAACAATCAGACAGGGAGACTATCAGAAAAACAGACAAAGAGACAAACAGTCAGACAATGACACATTGATACAGACAGACAAAGAGACAAACAACCAGACAGGGAGACAAACAGACAGACAATGAGACAATCACACAGACAGACAGACAGACAAAGAGACAAACAATCAGACAGGGAGACAATCAGACAACCAGACAAACACAGACAATAAGACAAACAGAAAGACTGCCAGACATAGGTATATACATTGATACATTCTCTTGGTCATTCTCTTAATTCCCCACAGCCCCTTTCACCGGGTCCATCTTCCCCTCTCCCCCTCTCCCTCTCACTCCCTTCCCTACAATTCATACGTACATTACATTCATAACATACATCCATTCTTTACAATCAAAACATACAGACAGAACATGCATCTCACAAACATATGTACATTACATTCATAATAGGTCCATTCTTTACATACATACAGAACATGCATCTCTTACAAACATACGTACATTACATTCATAAGATAGGTCCATTCTTTACATACATTACATACATACAGAACATGCATCTCTTACAAACATACGTACATTACATTCATAACATAGGTCCATTCTTTACAAACATTACATACATACAGAACATGCATCTCTTACAACATGTGTACGTTACATTTATAACATAGGTCCATTCTTTACATACATGCATACATTCATGCATTATGTACATGACATTCTTTACATCATATTCACCACATTATTAACATTTCACTTTATACATTTATTGCATGCATACATATATAACAAACATCCATTCTTTACATACATTACATACATACAGAACATGCATCTCTTACAAACATACGTACATTACATTCATAACATAGGTCCATTCTTTACATACATAACATACATACAGAACATGCATCTCTTACAAACATGTGTACATTACATTCATACTATAGGTCCATTCATAATGTAGGTACATTCATATATATCTACAATACATACTTACATAGAGACAGACTAACAGACAGACAGACATATAACGATACATACATCCATACAAACATTTATAGATACAGACACAGCAACAAACATGCATTTAGATGACACTGCAAGGATCAGACACACAGACAGACAAACAGACAAACAATCAGACAATGAGACACTCAGAGAAACAGAGACAGACAAAGAGACAAACAACAATCAGACAATGAGACAATCAGACAAACTCCTTTTTCTCTCCAACTCCCTTCCCTACAATGCATAGATAGATTACATACATTACATAAGTACACAACATGCATCTCTCACAAACATATTTATATTACAATCACAAAATACATACATTCCTTACATTCATTACATGCATACATTACATGCATCTCTTACATACATATACTTGTTACTTGATCTTTAACTGGTTCCTATTTTCTCTCATCTATCTCCCTCCTTTCTGTCATCTATTTCTTCTTTGTTTTGAGATTTCTCTCATATTTTTCTTTCTTTTCTCCTCTTTATCTTATGGATGCCTTGTCTAAGTAATTCATTATATGCACACACCGCTATTTAGACTTGGTTCCATTTCTCCTGTACTGCTTTTTCCCCGTCTCTTCACATACATACAAACAGAGAGACAGATTGACAGACAATTAGACAGAAAAACTGACAAACATCTATCCATCCATAGATACCAACAGATATACATTGATATGTATCTACAATACATACTTACATAGAGACAGACTAACAGACAGACAGACAGACATGTAACGATACATACATCCATACAAACATTTATAGATACAGACACAGCAAGAAACATGCATTTAGATGACACTGCAAGGATCAGACACACAGACAGACAAACAGACAAACAATCAGACAATGAGACACTCAGAGAAACAGACAGACAAAGAGACAAACAACAATCAGACAATCAGACCATCAGACAAACAGACAGACAGACAAACAAAGAGACACGCTATCACACAATGACACAATCACACAGAAAGACAGACAGACAAAGAGACACGCTATCACACAATGACACAATCACACAGAAAGACAGACAGACGAAGAGACAAACAATCAGACAGGGAGACAATCAGACAACCAGACAAACACAGACAATAAGACAAACAGAAAGACTGCCAGACATAGGTATATACATTGATACATTCTCTTGGTCATTCTCTTAATTCCCCACAGCCCCTTTCACAGGGTCCATCTTCCCCTCTCCCCCTCTCCCTCTCACTCCCTTCCCTACAATTTATACATACATTACATTCATAACATACATCCATTCTTTACAATCATAACATACATACAGAACATGCATCTCACAAACATATGTACATTACATTCATAATAGGTCCATTCTTTACATACATACAGAACATGCATCTCTTACAAACATACGTACATTACATTCATAAGATAGGTCCATTCTTTACATACATTACATACATACAGAACATGCATCTCTTACAAACATGCATACATTTCATTCATAACATAGGTCCATTCTTTACATACATAACATACATACAGAACATGCATCTCTTACAAACATACATACACAAACATACACATTACATTCATAAGATAGGTCCATTCTTTACAAACATTACATACATACAGAACATGCATCTCTTACAACATGTGTACGTTACATTTATAACATAGGTCCATTCTTTACATACATGCATACATTCATGCATTATGTACATGACATTCTTTACACATCATATTCACCACATTAGGAACATTTCACTTTATACATTTATTGCATGCATACATATATAACAAACATCCATTCTTTACATACATTACATACATACAGAACATGCATCTCTTACAAACATACGTACATTACATTCATAACATAGGTCCATTCTTTACATACATAACATACGTACAGAACATGCATCTCTTACAAACATGTGTACATTACATTCATACTATAGGTCCATTCATAATGTAGGTACATTCATATATATCTACAATACATACTTACATAGAGACAGACTAACAGACAGACAGACATATAACGATACATACATCCATACAAACATTTATAGATACAGACACAGCAACAAACATGCATTTAGATGACACTGCAAGGATCAGACAAACAGACAGACAAACAGACAAACAATCAGACAATGAGACACTCAGAGAAACAGACAGACAAAGAGACAAACAACAATCAGACAATCAGACAAACAGATAGACAAACAAAGAGACACACTATCACACAATGACACAATCACACAGAAAGACAGACAGACAAAGAGACAAACAGTCGGAAAAACAGACAGTCAAATAGACAAACAGTCAGACAATGACACATTCACACAGACAGACAAAGAGACAAACAATCGGACAGGGAGACAAACAGACAGACAATGAGACAAACAATCAGACAGGGAGAGAAACAGACAGACAAAGAGACAGACAGACAATGAGACAAACAATCAGACAGGGAGACGATCAGACAACGAGACAAACACACTGACATACAGACATTGGTACTTACATTGATACATTCTCTTGGTCATTTTCTTCATTCTCTAAAGCACCTTTCACTGGTTTTTTTTCTGCTCTTTCTCCTTTTTCTCTCCAACTCCCTTCCCTACAATGCATAGATAGATTACATACATTACATAAGTACACAACATGCATCTCTCACAAACATATTTATATTACAATCACAAAATACATACATTCCTTACATTCATTACATGCATACATTACATGCATCTCTTACATACATATACTTGTTACTTGATCTTTAACTGGTTCCTATTTTCTCTCATCTATCTCCCTCCTTTCTGTCATCTATTTCTTCTTTGTTTTGAGATTTCTCTCATATTTTTCTTTCTTTTCTCCTCTTTATCTTATGGATGCCTTGTCTAAGTAATTCATTATATGCACACACCGCTATTTAGACTTGGTTCCATTTCTCCTGTACTGCTTTTTCCCCCGTCTCTTCACATACATACAAACAGAGAGACAGATTGACAGACAATTAGACAGAAAAACTGACAAACATCTATCCATCCATAGATACCAACAGATATACATTGATATGTATCTACAATACATACTTACATAGAGACAGACTAACAGACAGACAGACATGTAACGATACATACATCCATACAAACATTTATAGATACAGACACAGCAAGAAACATGCATTTAGATGACACTGCAAGGATCAGACACACAGACAGACAAACAGACAAACAATCAGACAATGAGACACTCAGAGAAACAGACAGACAAAGAGACAAACAACAATCAGACAATGAGACAATCAGACAAACAGACAGACAGACAAACAAAGAGACACACTATCACACAATGACACAATCACACAGAAAGACAGACAGACAAAGAGACAAACAATCGGACAGGGAGACTATCAGAAAAACAGACAGTCAGAGACAAACAGTCAGACAATGACACATTCACACAGACAAACAGACAATAAGACAAACAAAAGACAGCCAGACAAACAGATATACAATGATACAATCACACAGACTCAAACAGACAGACAGACAAAGAGACAAACAATCAGACAGGGCTCCCAATCAGACAGACAGAAAGACATTCGTACAAACAATCAGACATAGACAATCTTACATCCATTCAACAGACAAACACAGACAATACAACAGAAAGACTGCCAGACATAGGTATATACATTGATACATTCTCTTGGTCATTCTTTAATTCCCCACATTCACAGGTCCATCTTCCCCTCTCCCATCTCACTCCCTTCCCTACAACATACATACATTTCATTCATAACATAGGTCCATTCTTTACATACATAACATACATACAGAACATGCATCTCTTACAAACATACATACATTTCATTCATAACATAGGTCCATTCTTTACATACATACATACATACAGAACATGCATCTCTTACAAACATACGTACATTACATTCATAAGATAGGTCCATTCTTTACAAACATTACATACATACAGAACATGCATCTCTTACAACATGTGTACATTACATTTATAACATAGGTCCATTCTTTACATACATGCATACATTCATGCATTATGTACATGACATTCTTTACATCATATTCACCACATTAGGAACATTTCACTTTATACATTTATTGCATGCATACATATATAACAAACATCCATTCTTTACATATACATACATACAGAACATGCATCTCTTACAAACATACGTACATTACATTCATAACATAGGTCCATTCTTTACATACATAACATACGTACAGAACATGCATCTCTTACAAACATGTGTACATTACATTCATACTATAGGTCCATTCATAATGTAGGTACATTCATATATATCTACAATACATACTTACATAGAGACAGACTAACAGACAGACAGACATATAACGATACATACATTCATACAAACATTTATAGATACAGACACAGCAACAAACATGCATTTAGATGACACTGCAAGGATCAGACACACAGACAGACAAACAGACAAACAATCAGACAATGAGACACTCAGAGAAACAGACAGACAAAGAGACAAACAACAATCAGACAATGAGACAATCAGACAAACTCCTTTTTCTCTCCAACTCCCTTCTCTACAATGCATAGATAGATTACATACATTACATAAGTACACAACATGCATCTCTCACAAACATATTTATATTACAATCACAAAATACATACATTCCTTACATTCATTACATGCATACATGCATACATTACATGCATCTCTTACATACATATACTTGTTACTTGATCTTTAACTGGTTCCTATTTTCTCTCATCTATCTCCCTCCTTTCTGTCATCTATTTCTTCTTTGTTTTGAGATTTCTCTCATATTTTTCTTTCTTTTCTCCTCTTTATCTTATGGATGCCTTGTCTAAGTAATTCATTATATGCACACACCGCTATTTAGACTTGGTTCCATTTCTCCTGTACTGCTTTTTCCCCCGTCTCTTCACATACATACAAACAGACAGACAGATTGACAGACAATTAGACAGAAAAACTGACAAACATCTATCCATCCATAGATACCAACAGATATACATTCATATGTATCTACAATACATACTTACATAGAGACAGACTAACAGACAGACAGACATGTAACGATACATACATCCATACAAACATTTATAGATACAGACACAGCAAGAAACATGCATTTAGATGACACTGCAAGGATCAGACACACAGACAGACAAAGAGACAAACAATCAGACAATGAGACACTCAGAGAAACAGACAAAGAGACAAACAACAATCAGACAATGAGACGATCAGACAAACAGACAGACAGACAAACAAAGAGACACACTATCACACAATGACACAATCACACAGAAAGACAGACAGACAAAGAGACAAACAATCGGACAGGGAGACTATCAGAAAAACAGACAAAGAGACAAACAGTCAGACAATGACACATTGATACAGACAAAGAGACAAACAATCAGACAGGGAGACAAACAGACAGACAATGAGACAATCACACAGACAGACAAACAGACAGACAGACAAAGAGACAAACAATCAGACAGGGTGACAATCAGACAGACAGAAAGACGAAGAGACAAACAATCAGACAGGGAGACAATCAGACAACCAGACAAACACAGACAATAAGACAAACAGAAAGACTGCCAGACATAGGTATATACATTGATACATTCTCTTGGTCATTCTCTTAATTCCCCACAGCCCCTTTCACTGGGTCCATCTGCCCCTCTCCCCCTCTCCCTCTCACTCCCTTCCCTACAATTCATACGTACATTACATTCATAACATACATCCATTCTTTACAATCATAACATACATACAGAACATGCATCTCACAAACATATGTACATTACATTCATAATAGGTCCATTCTTTACATACATACAGAACATGCATCTCTTACAAACATACGTACATTACATTCATAAGATAGGTCCATTCTTTACATACATTACATACATACAGAACATGCATCTCTTACAAACATGCATACATTACATCCATAACATAGGTCCATTCTTTACATACATTACATACATACAGAACATGCATCTCTTACAAACATACGTACATTACATTCATAACATAGGTCCATTCTTTACATACATGCCTACCTTCATGCATTATGTACATGGCATTCTTTACATCATATTCACCACATTAGGAACATTTCACTTTATACATTTATTGCATGCATACATATATAACATACATCCATTCTTTACATACATAACATACATACAGAACATGCATCTCTTACAAACATATGTACATTACATTCATAACATAGGTCCATTCTTTACATACATTACATACATACAGAACATGCATCTCTTACATACCTATGTACATTACATTCATAACATAGGTCCATTCTTTACATACATGCATACATTTATGCATTATGTACATGACATTCCTTACATCATGTTCACCACATTAGGAACATTTCACTTTATACATTTATTGCATGCATACAAACAATTACATACATTTTGTATACATTCAATTACATACATTTCATACAGATATTACATATTTATATATACATTACATACATACATACATACATTCCTAGATACACACATACATACATACACACCCTCTCATAAATACATGGATTCATACATGCATACATACATCCATCTATAACATGCATATATTGCTATATGAACATTGCATTTATTTAGCACATACTCTGCATTGATTTCACACATACATGATATGCACTTCATACATACATTGCATACATTATTATTCATTTTCTGCATTCCTGCCTCTCCATCCTTATTCAGTGATGTGCATGATGAATATTATTTTTGTACTATATATATATTAATTTTTTTGTGGGTGATTTTCTACAAAGGCATTTTTATGTATTATGAAATATAATTCTTTAATCCTTTGGATTTGTAGTAAAGTTATTTTTTTAATTCATCTGTTTAATTTATTTTTGCCATGGAGAGATAATTCAGGAGATTAAAATCTGATTGGTATTCCTTTTCTTTACGTATAAGGTTAATCTATTTTTTTTTCAGTTTCATCTCAATTTAATTGTGCTTTTCTAAGTTTATAGTTTTATCTCATCTGCACACCATGTCTGTCACAGCAGTCTCGCCTCAGTCCAGCTAGAGTCTGAAGTAAGTGATTTCTTTGTCACTTCAGTATTATATATTTACATGATTGGTGGTGGGTTTTTTCTCTTTGTTAAGCTCACCTCAACACTCTTACAGAGCTTACATTATACTTGTAGCATTTTGCGTTATATTTAGCTGTTGATGTTCGATAACCTACCGTTACATGAGATCTCGGTGTTTAAGGTCTCATCCGGAAACGCGTTGATTTTCACTTTTGATGCCGGGTGCTTTGTGAATGAACAGTCACTTAACCTTTGTTTACACCTTACATTTGACGCGGCGCAGCGAACGAGAATCGAACCTTCGATCACGAAGTGGCTGTCTTCCTGTATGATCCGTCTACTGTGTTTCATTTCACTCTGACTGTATGTGCCTTACTTAACGTTTAATGGGTTGAGGTGAGCAAGGTAATCTTTGATTACCTATGTATATTTTCATATATAAAAAAAAATACATAAAAACCAAAAAAAAATATTAAAATACATAAAAACCAAAAAAAATATAAAAATTACAAAAAATACCAAAAAGAGAAATATATAGAGATAACGAACAGCATTGAAGCCTAGAAGTTGAATCAAGACAAA